ATCCCTTGTCTTAAAATATTTTATTCATCATGTTAAAATAAAATGTTCCATAATCAATTTTTTTTCTTTTCTTTTTTCAATTTTTCCAATTTTTCGGAAAAAAAACAAAAAAGGCTTCAGGAAAAAAACAGGGGGGAGGGAACGGTTGTTTTCCGAATTTTTCCAGTTTTTTTCCGGGCCTTCACATTTTTAGTGAAGATACACCAACTCGGAGCTCACCAGCTGCTTTCCTTTTTACAGTTTATATCTCTCGTACCTGGCATTAAATTTTATGGCACACACGGCCCGGCCCAACAAAGTGACATTTGTGTCAGATCCGGCCCTGTAACAAATGACTTCGACACCTCTGCGTTAGAGAGTTGGACTTGGAGGCAGGGTGCTGCTGGGCTCATGTCTCCAACGGACTCTGGAAATAAAAAATAAGGCCAAGGCCAATGGTGCAAAAGCAGGTAAAAATATATTTGATTACTCAGTTAAATTTCAAAAAATCCCCTACATGTTTCGCCAGCTGGCTTCATCAAAGGAATCTCTTCATGCGATAATACTCTTTTACTCTTGTTTTGGGGTGGGGGTGTTTTTATCGGTGCATATGAGTGTGCGTGCCCCTGGAAGACATGTCAGCCTCTGGCGACTGACCCCGAGAGGGGGCCTGGAGGATATTCAGAGGTGGCTGAATAAAGCCTGCCCCGCCTCCTGACTGCTGGTATTCCAAGGAGGTCTCCCATCGAGCCAGCCTGGGCTATCCAGGTCAGGGCATCTTTGATACTTTTCGAAGAATTACTGCAAGACGAATAGATTCCCCCGACAAAGCCGGTTGGCAAAACGTGTAGGGTTGTGTTTTTTTTTAATTTAACTGAGTAATAAAATATGTTTCACCTGATATTGCGCCATTGGCCTTGGCCTTATTTTTTTTTCCTCCTGTGGCTGGCGTGGCTCTATGCAGTCAATCAATCAGAACCTTTATTGGCATATCGACAGCGTGTCTCTTTGTATTCTTGTCCCACCGGACTGTCACTGGAGGCCCATCTTTGCCTCCTCGTCGCTCCCTGAGCCTCGATCGGGTGTGGGATGCACCCGCACAGCAAGACGCCCATCCCAACGTGACAACCGGCATTTGATTTCTCATCTCAGATCTTCCGAGGGAAGGACGTCACCCTGCTCTATTCCCAGCTGCGCATTTTCTTCCCCGACGTGACGTGCGCCAAGCCCCGAAGCAGCCGCAACTCCAGCATTGGTGAGTGAGTGAACAGCTTCTTCCGGGCCTAGTCTCTGACCCCTCCCCCCCCCGTAGAATATTGCATGAAGAAGAAGAAGAAGAGATTGGATTTATATGCTGCCCTTCACTACCCAAAGGAGTCTCAGAGCGGCTTACAAACTCCTTTCCCACAACAGCCACCCTGTGAGGTAGGTGGGGATGAGAGAGCTCTTGACAGAAACTGCTCCTTTTCAAGAACAGCTCTTATCAGAACTACGGCTTGCCCAAGGTCATCCAACCAGGTGCAAGTGGAGGAGTGGGGAATCAAACCCGGTTCTCCCAGGTTAGAGTCCGCGCACTTAACCACTACACCAAACTGGCTCTCTCGTTAAGATAATATCTTTTTCTTTTGGTTATTGTGTGTGTGTGTGTGTTTACTTAACTTAAGAAGTTAAGTTAAGAAGAAGTTAAGAAGTTAACTTAAGAAGTGAAGATAATATCTTTTTCTTTTGGTTATTGTGTGTGTGTGTGTGTTTACTTAACTTAAGAAGTTAAGTTAAGAAGAAGTTAAGAAGTTAACTTAAGAAGTGAAGATAATATCTTTTTCTTTTGGTTATTGTGTGTGTGTGTGTGTTTACTTAACTTAAGAAGTTAAGTTAAGAAGAAGTTAAGAAGTTAACTTAAGAAGTGAAGATAATATCTTTTTCTTTTGGTTATTGTGTGTGTGTGTGTGTTTATATGCTTGGAAGTCATGGTTGACTTCCAAGAGCCAGTTTGGTGTCGTGCTTAAGTGCGCGGACTCTAATCTGGGAGAACCAGGTTTGATTCCCCCACTCCTCCACTTGCACCTGGCTGGATGACCTTGGGCAAGCGTCTTGTGAGCAAAACTTCTACTTTGTGAGCTACCGGCATTAAAGTTGTGAGCAAGCGATGTGGCTGCTGCATAAATTAGTTTGCTCCGGAGCCATCATTCCTGAAGTGAGACAAAAGCATGTGAGTCGGAGGTTAAAAAACTGCGAGCTAGCTCACACTAACTCAGCTTAGAGGTAACACTGGGACTGGCTGAATAAAGCCTGCCCCCACCTCCCACCTCTGGTATTCCTTGGAGGACTCCCTTTCAAGTCCCTGCCAGGGTCGGCCCCACTTAGCTTCCGAGATCTGACGAGATCGGGCTTGCCTGGGCTATCCAGGTCAGGGCGCAAGTTAAGATAGTCTCTGACATCGGGTGGATAGTCTCTGACATCGGGTGCAGAATCCCTGCACTTCCCTTTCATTTAGATACACAAACCGTTTTTTGTTTGTTTGTTTTAGCTTGATTTGTGCGAGGACCAGGGCTATTTTTGGGCAGGAACGCACAGGAACGGAGTTCCGGCTGGCTCCCAAGTTGGCCACGCCCAGCAGGAACTCATTAGCATAATAGGCCACACCCAACAGCAGAAACTCATTAGGATTGGCTACATTAGGGGTGTGTGGCCTAACATGCAAAGGAGTTCCTGCTACAAAAAAAGGCCCTGGGTTTTGACAACAAACAAGGTAAACAGAATAAGAAGGGAAAGGTGGGTGTGGCTGGATGACCACACTTCTGGTAACATGTGGGTGTGGCCTAATGTGCTAATGAGCTGTGCTGTCAGGGGTGTGGCCTAATATGCTAAAGAGTTTTGTGGCATATTATGCTAATGAGTTCCTGCTGGGCTTTTTCTACAAAAAGAGCCCTGGCAGGGAGGGTACTTAAAAGCACACATGCTCCCGTGCTTGGAGGACAGAGCTTTTGCACGCGGCTTGATAGCTGCCCCCCCCCATGACCCCCTAAATGCGAAGACGTATCTTGTGTTTTTAATGGCTCAAATATTTTGTTTTACTTTTTTTTTTACGTTTGCCACCTTGCGGACCCCGATCAGGTGGAAAGGAATCATAAAAACATTTTGAATACCATGCCTTAAGTGGTTGTACTAGGTGCATTTGTAAAGGTTATCTTACTCCCTTGAGCTACCGGGGGAAACCTGTTTCAGCGAACTGGTAACTGTTCTTTGTGTCAAATAGTGTTGTAGTTGTGTGGTTAAAAAAATGAATAAAAATAAAATTTAAAAAAAAACATTTTAAATGACTTCCAGCCCCTTGAGTCCATCTTGTGGGCCTCAACAGCAGCCCTCAATTGGGATCCGGCCCGTTCCCCTCAGCTCCATCTTGTGTCCGGGTCACACGAGCTTGGGACCGGCTTTTGTGTACACGTCTGGGTCCGATGCAGAACACAGTTTATTTTAAATGCAGATTTGGGGGGCGGTGCTTGTCACAATTTGCTACTCACGACACCCGACATACTCACTGACTCGGGAAAGTAAGGGGCATCTACTTCAGCGCGGGACTCAAACGCTTGAACTCCCTTTCTGTCCCCGCAGAAGCCTTTGTCGTTTGCCGAAACTACAGCCCCCCTGAAGGCTACGTACCAAACATGTCCAATCCCCTGCTGGATCATTGTTACGGTAAGGAGTCGGAGGGGGGGAGAGGATGTTCCGTGAGGATCATAGAATCATAGAACGCAGGGGTCATTTCGTAGGAAAAGAGGTGCAGGAGCTCATTAGCATAACTTATTTGCATATGCCACCCCCCCTGACGTCACCGGAAGTGTGTCAGAAGGCAACACAGAAGGCGCTTAGGGCTCTTTAGCTTGGAGAAACGACGACTGAGGGGTGACATGATTGAGGTTTATAAGATTATGCATGGGAAAGAGCAGGTAGAGAAAGAGGTACTTTTCTCCCTTTCTCACAATACAAGAACTC